TATGAACTGTTCCCGTTTAACCAGAGACTCATGCATACAAACTAGAACAGCGCCAGGTTAAGATGCGACAGGAAACCAGGGACAGAAAGGTCTTAACCTGAACTTATCAGGGACTCCCTGGATGGGGAAGAGAGATAAGGAAATTTCAAATCATGTGCAAATAGGAACTTCAGAGGCTGCTGCTCCTTGTTTGCACAAATGACCGATCATGAGGGTTAAACATTTAAAAAAGATGGGAAACTCATTTCCTAGTAGAATATCATAACCTGTTTGCATTTTGTTAGTAATACCCTGTCAGGGGACGTCTGTCAATCACGGAGATGAATGTGCCAATTTGTTATTGAAAATACAAATGGAATTAGTTTGGAAGCTGCCAGCAGTGTCAGTCGTGAATATTGTTTAACTGAGCCAGTAGCATGGATTTTGGTGTTACTGATGTGTCACTCAGTGTCACTTGCACTTGTTGGGAGAATCCAGGCATTCACTGGCAATTAAACGTGAGATTTGTGACTTTCACTGGGCGAAGTCTTTGTCAAGGTGAAATGTGGGTAGAATAGGGCATTTTGATGGCAAAAGGATGATTTTAGAAAAACTGACCTCTCTTCCCTCGCAATCCCTTAATAATAATGTGCTCAGAGACACGCATCACACTCCCCCCCGGTTAACTATGTGATGATCATGATTCTTTTAATGTTTCACATGAATCTTCGTGTTTTCTATTAGTGTCTCTCAATGCCACAATCAGGGTATTTTTGATATCTTGTATTACCCTAATCGCCAAGAAGTATGCTCCAAACTGATTAATTCCAGAATGATTAAAATATCCTATGCAATTCATTTATTGTTGCTTCAGTTAATTGAATATTTGATGATTTAAAGGTACCTTGATTATTTCCTAGGATATGTCTTGATCACCAGGCAGATGATCTGCGCGTGGTCTGCCTGTGGCTACATGCGGTGGCCGCCTGCACTGTCACACGCCAAGAGGGTAGGCACTTGGGAGGGCTCTCGGTCAAGTCACACCTGCCCGACGCGGACGCCCGCCCCTCCTGGCCCTCAGAGGACCACATCCGTGCCCAGCCTGAGAGAGAGGGTCGTCTGGGGCCAGGAGTGAGAGCACAGCCTCCCGGGCGGCATGCTGCTTGCTTTCGCTCCTGGAGGAGGGGGCGGAGAGGGGGATGCACAGGGACGCAGGCTCTGAGTGGCTAACTTGCGCTTTGTGGACTATCTGAATACTCAAGAGTGCATTGAAAGGGAGGGAAGGTGGCTCTGGAATTAAGCGGCTGCTTGGCAACTCATCGGGCAGCAGTTCTAATCCCAGTGTCCCCACTAGTTCTCCTCCTGTCTCCTGTCACACCTGTCCGAGTGACTCCTCCACAGTTCCTGCGAGAGGAGGAGGGGTGTGAGAGACAGACAGACAGACAGAGAGAGCAACGGGCTGCAGGGGCCGAGCCCTCAGCCTGAGCCCAGCTTCCGTCCAGAGCGCAGAGTGGCCCGGCATTGCTCGGCCATGTCTGATCCTTGGCCTCTCACCCCCTTGTGGGGCGAGGACTGCAGCGGGGACCTCGGCGGCTGGGAGCTCCTGTCGGATGTGGCTCTGTCCGTGAACCCGGTAGGTACTCTTCCCGACACCCAAGTCACACCTCCTGTTCTGTATTGTCTGTTTCCCCCTAACTGTTTGTCTCCCCCAAGTTATGTGGAGCAGCAAAGGAAGAAATTATGTTGCCTTTGGTGTCTTTAAATCCTCCCCTGGAACCATCCTGAGCACAGTGTGAGCTCAATCAGGATTTGTTGTCTAAAGAAATAAATGGGAGAACTGATGAATAGGCGGACGGGTGAATGAATGTGATCCTATTACCCTTGTCACCACCACCTTACAATGTACATCCCAGTGGGTCTCTAATTGTTTGTTTTCCTGTCCCATCTAGACATTTACCTCTGAGAGAAAGTGGCCAAGTCTGATAGTTCTTTGTGTCGCTGACCCCCCTCGCCCAGCACTCTTCTAGGCACAGAGGAAATGCTCGCTGGTTAATTCAAAAGCATTTGCGGGGGCGGGGGTAGGGAAACACTTACAGCTCAAAGGAGTGGTCTTGGCGGTGAAAAGATCCGCAGGGCAGGGCTAGATGAATTTGTGGGACTGGTGACTCCGTGTCAATGCTGGATTCCAGTATTTTCTAAAAAAGAAAAAAAAAATCTGAACACTCGGTATGGATGCATATTTCTTTGCCTGCCTGTGTCTGCAGAGTTCTTCCCCAGAGTCCACAACTCTTTGTATTTTGACAGCATTTCCCCATAAGGAAATGGATATTTATAATACCAGGTGTAGAGATGATATTTGCAGTTGGCAAGAGTGAGTCAGATCTTACCTTGAGCAGACAAGAGGACTGGACTTCGGAAGACGCAGTTAGGAGACCAGCAGGGCAGGGGCTCATAACCCAGCACACTACATGGGTCTTTTCCGGTTACAAAGCAGGTTCGCATACCTTATATTTCATTTGCTGCTCACAGAAACCCTGTGAGATTTGAAAACAGCTGGTATGATTATTATCATTCTTTTATTTTACTCAATTTTATTTTTATAGTTGGGCAAACTGGAACTCAGAGGGTTAGGTGATAAAGTCCTGTTCCCGAGGGATAGGGCCAGGCCTCCCACCCGACTCTTTAGACACATAGGCAAATGTTCTTGCTGTGTCTGCATGTTCCTGATATTATTTCCCATTTTTATTCCAAAGTTAACATTTGTGTGTTAGCATGGAAAAAGAAAAGACTAAGACTTTTTTTTTTGTGAGACTGAGCCATATATGTTTAGCCTGGGCAGCCCAGCTGATTCAGTACAACAACTATACTGAAAATTTAAGTCTTGGCTATAATCATTTTGACCATTGTGTTTCAGGAAGATATATGTTAGTTCAACAACTGTCTTAGAAAATACAGTTGCTGGAGCCTTGAACGATGAAATGAGAGTTTATTTGCTGTTATGAATCATCAGTTGAGTTCTATAATCCTGTAATATGTTAGACCAGTCTCTTCTAGCATATATTCTGCAAACACCCATGCTATGGAATGGTGATCATTATTAATTGAAAAAAAAAAATGAGAACTAAAACCCCAACAATTCAATGTCAAGAAAGTTGGAAATATGCTGCTTTAAACTGATTTGATAGATGTCTCAGAGCCTTTAATCTGCATCATGGATTGCCAAGAGGGAAGTTGGTCTACAGTTATTTGGACACAGAACGTTTCATTTTGCAGGACTGGTTATAATGGTCTGTTAACTGTGATTCTTCACACCTCTCTTCCTCCTGAGTCTGCAAACTCCACGAGGGGAGAAACTGTGTCTCCTTTTGCTTTTTCCCATTGTATCTTTGTTGAACACGAGCCTGGTGGCACAGTCCCTGGCCCTTAAAAAAATATTTGTTGAATGAATGAATGAATCAACTCTGCTAGAACAAACCACCTGTGATTGCTTATCAAAAACCTGTATTTAAAGTTCTTTACAGTGTCTGCCCAGCCAGTTTGTCAGCCTTTCCTTCTACTATTCTTTCTACTCAGTGCTCAAGTATTTGTGTTCTTGGAAGGATGACTATATAATTTATCATCCAAATAGGGACATTTTTGAGGATGAAAGGGGACACCAGAATAACACATGTACACTGGAACCATACCAGTTGACCCAGGCTGGATGGCCCCCTCATTGCTGGTGACTCTCTAATCCTCACTAGGGATTTTTTGGTGCTTGGAGCAGCAACTTTTATATGGAGAAGAAGAAAAAAAGAAGAATAAAAATACACACTGGTTGAAATTAATGTATCAGTATGTACAGAAGTGACTGTTATGCTTATTTAATATTTACTGATGATTGTATTTTTTTAAGATTGAGGGCGACTGATGCCATATTCTCTCCCCCATTTCCCCAAATATAGTTGTATTTAGACTTGAATCTATCAGAGTAACTAGGGAATTGGGACTTAATTGCCCTTGTGAGAGACCTGGAACCTATAGCCCCTGTGGCAGTGCTCGCTTTACAGGACTCGTCTTTCACTTTCCAAGGCAGTGAATGAAAGAGACCAAATGTTCTCTCTACTGGAACTGGAGGGAAGTGGAGGTGATCAAAACCTGGAGTGGGTAAAAGGTGTGAAGAAGAGAGTTTGGAAGGTTTGGGGGAATGCCCATACCTGCACAGGTGACAGCATGCCCCGTAGGCTTTCCTCCAGGTAGTGGTCCCACTCTCAGGTCCCTCATCACGCCCAGCTATTGATTTGATGTCACTCTTTGGCATTTGGCTTCTTCCTTTCACTGACTATGGAGCTCCTGGAGGAAAATGCTTGTGCCAGATGCAGAGTAAGTCCTCAGTACAGTTCTGCTAGTTGCTTGAATTTTGATTGATTAGGAAGGTGTGAGTCACACAGAGAAAAAAAAACCCATGGCATTCAGTGTGGATATTTGTGAGATTCTGAGTGCCAGGGCAAGCATGCAATTTACACAAGAGTTTTGGCCTTAGTGTTTTAGACAAGAATTGTAGGCATCTGATTGAACTCCTGAGTAAAAAGGGGACTTAATTTAGTCACAAAACTATTTCATATAGGTGCCCTCTTTTACAAATCTGTGGTTATGAATAACATGGTGAACTACTATGTCAGAGAGTGGAAGAGGCCTCAAAAACCAGAAAAGTGAGCTCTTTCTTTGGAAAGATGAACAAAAAGAAGCCCAGGTGATGGGGGAGGATGGCTCCACATCTCAGAACAACTTGGTGACAGAACAAGACTGTCTCTGCATCTTACACTGTGGTCTTACTGCTTCATTAAAGGAAAACAAAATTGGCCATTTGCTGATATTTACTGCATTGTATTTAATAGGGAGGAAAATCCACATCTACTGCTTTATTTACTTTCTTTACAATTTTTCCCACAGGGTAAAATATTATACTGTCTGCTTTGCTGAGAGTAACTAGATTATATTTCATTTTCTTTTTTTTTATTTGTTTGTTTATTTTGTTTTAGGTAAGCCTTCCCAGTGACCCAAGCTGTGTTGAAGAAATCTTGCGGGTGAGTTTAAACCTCTATTTCTCTGCCTTTGAATAATGAAGTAATGTATCTGCTTAAGCTGCTCAAAGTAATTCCTCTTCTGTTTCCAGGAGTGTCATGATGGGGAAATCCTTGCATTCCACTTCAAGACTCTTCTGTTTATACCTCCTGTCTCATTTCTCACCTCTTCTCCCTCTCTGGTCAAGCTAGTCTCCTGATCTGCCCCCTTCTCGCATCATTCTGGCTCTTTCTTTTGAGGTCTTGAACAGAGACTTCCCACATCCTTTGGGAAGTGTTCCTTATTCAAGCATCCTACCTGCAACCTTTGCCTTTCTGTTCTCTGGGATCTCAGGTCAGCCTCATTGCTGCCCCATGTTACATCATTGATGGGACTGGGTCCTGGAGATCGTGGCCTGTAATGAGTGGATGAGATTTGGCAGGGTGGAGGGGAGGAGATGAGGAGAGAGTTGAGAATGATGGCAAGTTGTAGGAAATGTTCCTCATGGGGGTGACTTGGTTCATAAGAATGGCATGGAGGCAGCACAGAGCTGCAAAAGGTGACAATGACCTCTCCCAAAATACGTGATTAAACCAAGAGGAAAGACCAAAGCCAAGGCAGAAGCATGTATCTTCCCCCATCTCTGGCTGCTGACATTCTAAGGTGACGAAGAATCAGAGTTGTGGAGTGAGTTCTGTCTCCAGCAGTTGTCCCTTCTGTGATTTGAACAGATAACTTCATCTTTTTGAATCTCCCTTCCTTGTCTGTAAAAGAAGACAATAATGCCTGTCCTAATTCCCCTATAAGCTGTCTAGCTGTATATAAATGCTCCTTATTATGAGAAATGGTCAGTGTGGCCCAGAGAAAACTGTGCCGGCTTTCTACTACGGGAAAAATAAAAACAACCTCTGTGCCAGTGAAAATTCTGCATCCCCTTTAGTCACTTACCCAAGTCCCCTCTGCTCCCCTGACACACCCCCTGCTAAGTGCCTTAGTGCTGGAAGCAAACCCTGTGGAAATACACCCAAAGGAATAAAAAGAGCAGAAACCTGTTTGTCATCTAGCTGACTGGCCATCTGATTTCCCCTACTGTGAATATTCGTGTGCCTTTTTTCAGCCCAAGATCGATCGTTGTTGTTGACTGTTAAAGAGGAGTCTGATGGCATTTGTTCCTAGGATCCGGGTCGGGGGGCAGGGAACGTGGGCAGCTGCTGTGAAATCCACAGTGTGATGCACCCTGGGAACCCAGCCCCTTGCTCCCTGCCTCAGGTGTAGATGGCTCTGATGTACCCAATACACCAGACTGTGAGGGTCCTGGCCACCTGGCTTTTTAAAAAAAGGTGATGCTGAAATAAAGCTCTCCCTCTAGTCCCTACAGGAGTCTTGCTTTTCCAAATTAAGGTCATGGTCTTTTCTGAACTCCCCAAAGAATGTCAGACCCATTTCACAATCACCATGTCATTTGTGACAGTTGAGATTCTCCACTTCAGAGTAGCCCAGCCCTGGTGCCTAGGTGGCCCATACAGTGACCCAGCTAGGGAAGACAGCTGGACACCTGGCAGAGCCTGGCAACTCCAGTCTGCTGGAAGAGCCACTTAGAGAAACAATAGAATGTCACTTAAACACGGGAAGAAAAGACGTAGTTGCCTTAATAAGCTCATAAAAGATAGCACGCTTTGAGAAAGTAACAAAAGACTTTCTGTTGTTCTTGAAAGAGAATCTAGAGGAATGGCTTTTTTATTTTTTTGAAGGGCTATAGATTGTGTAGAATTCTGGGTTTTTTTGTTTTGTTTTGTTTTATTGACAATACCATTAATGAGTAGGCTTTCCTTTATTGAAGAATGACACGTTTCAATCCTCATGCTTGGAATGAAAATCAGCTTTCTGAAGTTTATGTCTCAGATTTTATGGCTTATTCTTAAATTTTTATAAACCACATTACTTGGCACAACAGAGTGCTTACTGAGCATTTTTTGTTCTGGCAAGTTCACGTGCCTGTTTGCAGGCCTTGGAGCCCTGTGGACAATTCCACAGTAAGTCTGGTGGTCACCTTGCTCCCAGTCTGCCTCCTTCTAGCGAGGGTGGGGAGATAACTTTTCTCTGTCTCTCCTCTTCTCTCTGACCCCCTCAGCACTTTTCTACCTAAGCAGAGTCCAGAGCGAGGTCACGCTCTCTCTCTCTCTCTCTCTCTCTCTCAGTGAAGGGGACTCTGTGGAGGAAGGCACTCTAGCCCCAGATAAGACCTTGCCTCCACTTGCTCCTGACACGATATCACTCCCTAACTGTAGGGCTTTTCACTTTCCTCATTTGGGAAACAGGGCATCATTCTGCATCCTCCCCACTGCCCTCCCCGCACTGTGAAAGTGTCTGTAAAGTGTGCACACTATCGGTGTGTGTGATGTGGAGAGAGCGCGTCCGTCCACTCCCCTAATTTCCCCACCTCCTTGAGTCCCCCTTTTTACCTTCTACAGCCCGTCAGGCCAAGCCACTTCATCTCACACTGGGTCAGACTTTTACTAACCAAGTGTGACACAACTGGCGTCTCCCTGCTCTCACCCCTCAGTACTCAGGCAATGGAAATACTTTGGCCTAATGTACTGGATTTTGGCGCCCACCTCCCTTTTCAAAACTCTTGTTCAAATTCAAACTAGTGGGCTTCCTTTGAAAGTTCCTCTCACCATTTCTCCCCTTCAGACTCACTTTCCTCCTTCTCTTCCCACACTGCTGCTGCTTCTCATTCTACCCCAGAGCCCACGTTGTGTGGTCTTCCAGGGCCCACTCACCCTGATATGGTGACCTTGTGTCCTAGCACGTGACTGCCTTTCAGAGTACTTGAACCTCATTTTCTTCTTTTGATCACAGGAAACACAGTGAAGTAAAGTCAAGTCGCTCAGTCGTGTCTGACTCTTTGAGACCCCATGGACTGTAGCCTACCAAGCTGCTCCCATGGGATTTTCCTGGCAAGGGTACTGGAGTGGGTTGCCATTTCCTTCTCCAGAGAATCTTCCCCACCAGGGATCGAACCCGGGTCTCCTGCATTGTAGGCAGACACTTTACCGTCTGAGCCACCAGGGAAGGTTTTGATCACAGGAAACATGGTAGTCCCTAATTATTTCAGTAAATTGGGAACAAAGAGAGGTTATACATGACCTGCCTCTGTGGGTAAGGCTAGAATATGGCAGAAGCAGAAGGAGAATGTGATCTTCACTTTGCACTTAACTGTCCACTGCCCTGTCACAAACCAACAATGAGAAACTCTGGATTCAAAACAAATGGCCTGGGTGGCTTGGCAAACTTACTTCCAGCAACTCTAACTGGGGATCTCAGCAAACTAACATAATTCAAGCCAGTCTTAGAAATGAGTTCTTTCTTCCCACCATCCTGAATATTTTCAAATCTCATTTCAGATAATACAATCATAGCAATAACAAATTACTGCTACTAATTAAAAATATTAATAGTACTGTGCCACTTTATGCATTTAGAGTTCTTAAGTACATCATGTCATTTACTTTTCACAACAAAGCTGAAAGATTGTGTTATTAGTTACTTATAGATACCCAGAGAAGTTGAGTAATTTGTTCCCAGGGCAAACAACTGGCTTCAGTGACCCTCATGCTGTCCATTCTTTCTGCTTTCTGTTCCTGTTGGCTTACCTGAACCCATCCTTATTTCATAAGCGCCAGTCTATTTTATGATTGATATTAAAATGCCATCAACCACCAGTTCATTTCAGCTTCTGTTGTTTCCTTAATTCGTATACATTCAATTATGCCAAAATAATTCCACATAGTTTCTCCAACAAACCAGAGTATACCAGCCCACAACACCTTTCCCACCACCTGCCCTTTCCTGCCACCTGCCCTTCTCCCATAGACAAGCTGTGGAAATTCAGATGGCTTTGCTCCTTGTCAAGTGTATTATTGCTTATTATAAATTTTACAGATCAGAAACTTAAAGGCAGCAGTCTGCGCAGCGCAGTCAAGCCTGCATACCTGTTTCCATCAGCATGCCATTTTATCTTTAGAGTCAAGCTACCCTCGAGTACAAACAGAAATGAAAAATAATAACAACTCTGGCCCTAGTGATGGCGTTTTGCAGTTACAATTCATTTATCATATGAGGGATTTCTAAGCTGCTCGTATATAATAATCTGGGTGGTGGCAGCAGCTTCTTTTCTAGCTCTGCAGGGTTTTATGGGTCCTGGAGTAATCATTTCTGGCAGAGTTAAGCCAAGGAGAGCAGTATGCACTAAATGCTACTAGCTGAGATGCATGCTCAATGATTATTTGTTCTGCAGTGGTATGATTTATTTGTTCTTAGCAAGAATTTACTTAAAAATATCAACAGACTATCAATTAAATCCTTTCCAGAGTAAAAAATGCAGATACAGCGCTTCTCTTTGATTTGACGCTGAACAGATTGTGTTTCCTAGCAGAGTACCTTCCATAGTTGATAATTTCATAAGCAAACATCTGTATGGGTAATTCACTGTTTATGAGGGATGCTGAATTTGCTAGCTAGGATTTAGGGAGCTTGATTTGATAAACTGTAGCATCTTACAGATCTCTCCCTGCCATATGGATCAGGTTTGTAAACACCGACATGGGCACCTCTTTTTGATTGCAGCATGATCTGTGTTTACAGCATTCTAAGTTATCACAGTTCTGCTTATTAGGTCTGTGTTTAAGTACAGAGTTTTAGTGTGGAAAGGACTTACCAAATAATTACAGGATGACCATGTACAGTCCTTGCTATTTTTTTACTTTTAAAGGGGAAACAGTGAAAAAGCCTATCTCAAGAGTGAGGGGGAAAATTGGATCTGGAAGCAAAATTGGTCAGACAATTATGTCTGAAAGGAAATTTGATTATATTATCATAACTATGCAGCATAATCAAGCACATTTCAGTAGAATTTCTTTGATAAATTTAACCAATAATTAGGCAATTGATTTTATATCCTGTCAAATTAATGTATAAATAATATTCAAATTGGAATCATGCAAATGATTTTCTATATAGC